GTGAATGATGTTCTTGGCTTTTCCCTTAAGTACCAAACACTCTTATCTGGCACTGAGTGCACAGGTTCACAACAGGACATTTGCACTCTGAATTGTTCTCAGGTTACCTGAGAGCAGCTTGACTGAAATCACATCCCAGAGAGATGTGCAGTGTAATTGTAGCTGTGGTGACCAATATCTGCAAAGGGGAGAAAAGCTGCTTCATCACGGATGAGGACTTGTGCAAATAGAAATCCAAAAGCCAGTTCTCACAGGGACACACAGGGAGTGGAATACACAGACAGCACGTGTGATCCAGCCCCCTCTCGTGGTTTTTCCACACAGAAGGCAGGAATTGACTCCAACTGATTTCTTAGTAATGATATGAACACCTGCATCTCTTCTCTGAAAGCTGATATGGTTACTGGCATTTCACTGCTTCTTAGGGAGTGATAGGTATTAGTCTGAGGATAGAAAATTATAATCTGTAAAAATTTTTATTTGTATTTCCTAGGCAACTTGATGGCTATTTCTGGTAGAATATGAAGGAGTAAGGGAAGGAGATTTGTTGGCTATTTCTATGAGCTGGTTTTTCTTCAAACTGAGGGAGGAAGCAAATACTACAGGGTAGAAAACAAATTCTTCTGGTCAACTGATAAAGTGCAGAAACAAACACAGGCATTTGATGTCCTGCACTGCTCTGTGTTTTAATTGAATTGAACAGAATTGCATGATACAAACAAGGCAGTGCTTGTCAGCAGGTGAAGAACAAATGCACGGAACTGAGAGAACTGCTGCAGGTCTGGCTAAAGCCAAGCTGGTTCCAGTGGGTGTTTTGGGGTGCACAGCACTGGCCAAATCAGCCCTGATCAGTTGTTCTTGCTCTGCAGCATCAGCAGGGCCTTCCTGTCATTTCCCCATGTCATTTATGGCTCACTGTGCAAACAGAAATTTGGGTGCCTTGTTCCTCACCGGCTCATCCTGGCCACGTGATGAGCTGTCCCAGAGCAACAAGAGCAGCAGCCCAAGGACAGAAATAACTGTCCTCAGGTGGCACCAGGGCAGCTCCCCCAGGGCAGCTCCCCAGCCTGGGCAGCGCTGCAGAGCAGCTGCCCTGGGGCACTCCGGCAGCGCAGCTCCCCTGCCCCAGGCTGGGAGGCTCAGGGAGCTCAGGGCTCCCAAGGGCTCTGTGCTGCATTCTGGTCCTTCCCCTGCCCTGGGCCAAAGGAGGGCTCCAGGCCTCAGGGATGAGGAATTTAGGACATCTGCTCTGAAGGAAGGTGAAGGGCTTTGGGGTGGGAGGGCAGATTGCTGCAGCAGTGGCAGTGAAACTGTTAATGCCTTGCAAAGGAGGTAAAACTGGTAAAGAATGCTGGTTACTTCAATAAAAACACATTCTCAGTATTGAAAGGGAAATATTTTTATTCCATTTATGTTTCTCTGAAGAGACAAAGAGATGCACCAAAGCATGTTAATCCCTGCTACAGTGTGAGCTCTGTTCTGACCTAATAAAGGTCTCATCATGGAAACTCATTTTGTGCCTAACACCACTTTTCCAGAATGTTCTGTAGCGGTGGCATTTCCTCATTGGTGTCTTCTTTAGATATTAATCAGAAATCTGGAAAGATCAAAATTACTTGAACAAAACTCCTATTAAAGTATGGGCAAAGCTAGAGGAGTAGGTACCTCCCTGAGTTATTGCTGTGCTTTCTTTCTGTCAAGAAAAGTATTTTTTTATTAAAAGCACCATTTGATTGATGTGACCTTGTCATGCAGGGATGCATTATGACTTGCCAGGAATTAATGAGCCAGTTCTGGAAGCACTGAAAAGGAGCTCTGCTATCCAACAAAAGTTTTCTCTGAGAAGTACATTCAGGAAAATACAGCCAAGCACGAGGAGGCTGATCCTGAACTGACAGCTGATGAAAGAGTGTTTGTAGCTGGGCAGCCATGAGGAATTGTACCATGGAAGTCACTGAAGAGGTATGTCTGGAAAAGAAAACATTGACAATTTTCTATCATTTCAACTGCCAGATTGACAGAGGGAGTGGGAATTTGTTTTTCCAGCTCAAGAAAAGAGCAAGACTTTTGAATGGTTTTGATTAATATTGCCTGTGAATACCAATATTTCACACCAATAAAACTTGGATTTCAGATCAAGGAACTGCTGTGTTACTGCAGCACAGCCATATTTCAGAATATCACAGGGGGGAAATACACCACAAAATACAATTTTCTGAAGTGTAAGAAACACCTCAGCTGCCATGTGAAAAGTGCAGAGCTGTGATACCTGAAGCAGGGCAGCAACCAGAGCCCCTGGCAGGGAGCACAGCAGGTGAGCTCAGAGCCTTCCCCTCTCACCCCTCCCTGAATCATCCCCTGCAGTGTCACCTCTGCACAGCTCAGCTCTGCTGACCCATGATGAATGGCACTCCAGGCATTCATTTCCCTCAGAAGTGCAGCTTGAGTCACTGCCATTGTCACCAAACCCTTCCCAGGGTGGAATTCAGTGACATTTTGTGCTGCAGAGTGCCCTGGCTGATCTCTGGAGCAGGGCTCTGAACCAGGGTGCTGTTTGCTTTCCAAATAGAAACACAATACCTGTATTTTTACACAGTAGTGTAGGCCTGATTGGGTTTCACAATCTGAGGTTTTGGTACCCACTGTGGAGAGCAGGAATGATCTGGATACAATGCTGCAGATAAAGAGACTTTGGGGCTGTGAGTTACTTCCTGATATTTATGCTTTTTGATCAAAATTAGAAGGTTTTTATGAGGCTGCTTAAAGGGGACAAGTCACACCTCCCTGCTGGCAAACATGGGTCTGGCAATACAAAATCTTCATGCCTCATTGAGCAGATTGATTGCTTGGGACCCCAGAGCACTTTCCCACAGAATTCCTGGAGCAATTTCCAGTATTCCAGTATTTCTTAGCTATGCCAAGGGGATTGCTCTGCCAAAACCTGAAACATAGAATCACAAGGCCCATTTCAGGCATCGGTTGTACCTCGCAGCCGTGAGCAAACAGCCCCTGAAAGGCACATAAGGAATCTCATCACGGGTTTCCACAGGTTTTTGTGTTCTCTTGTAGGTGTCCATCATCATCCTCAGTGATCATTTTGGTACTGCCTGGGACTGGACAAACTCAACTGACAGAATGTTTTCTTTTATTTCAGTTATTAGACAGATACTGACAACACACAGGGGCAAAGCTATTGGATTTTATGGTATTATAATGTATATAAATAATTCTAATGTTTAGGATGTGCCACTTTTTATTCTGCAGTTACAAATGCGCATTTCATTTTCCTAAAGTCTGGCTGTTTTATTTATAATTGTGTTATTTCTCTTACAGGACAGGTTTATAAGTAGTTCCACACTTGGTATCACTCAGATATAGAAAGCTACTTTAACAAATCTCCTGTTAAAATAGCCTGAAGTTTATATGAGCAAGAACTGCTGAAATCTAGCTCCTAATCTGCACCATATGTTGGCATGCCTCCTTCTTGGAGATGACATTTTGCTTTGCTTCCAGTAGATAACTTTTCTTTTAAAGAAAAAAAACCTGATGAGAGGCTACAGGCAGCCTGACGGATAAGGGATGGATAAGGGATGGATAAGGGATGGATAAGGGATGGATAAGGGATGGATAAGGGATGGATATCTGCTGCAGTGTCCCTGCCTGTTTCAGGGTCACTGCCTTCCACAACTGTGTCATGCTGACACCTCTCAAAATGCTTTGCATTTTTAACATCCTTTGCAAAATTCTCCAGTTGCAAAAATCACTCGGTGGGTATCGAGGTACAATGGATTTAGAGCTGCCTCACAATCTCCCAGCAGTAACTCTGTCCACTCTGGCAGATCAGCAGAGTTAGCCACGCTCAGGAATAATGAGGTGAAGGAGTCAGGGAATATAGAATCAAGACAGGTATGTCCAGCAAAAATTTATTAGCTTAACAGCTCTCAATTAAGGATTTGCTACTGGCTGAACCCGGTATTTCTCATTAAACAGCAGTTTCTCTGTAACAAAGCTGCTGGTTTATGTTGGGATGCACAGGGGACATTTACTGCCGGTGAGCGCTCCCAGCCTGGCTGGGGTTCCTGGCACGGCGGCGGTGTCAGCTCCGTGTGATCCGATCAGTTTCGGGGAAGGTTCCCCTGTGCTTTTCCACTGAGGCTATTTCTGTGCAGTGAGGGGCGCACAGAGGTCACTCGGTGTCTGTGCACGAAGCGCTGCCGCTGTTTGTCACCAACACCGCTCGCTCCGAGCCACGGCACTCCGGCACTGACGGGAGGGTGAGCACGAAGCGCTCGATGGCGCCGAGCGTGGCCCGTGGCTGTGTGGGTGCGTCTGGGGCCGTGCCGAGCCTGGCCCGTGGCTCTGTGGCCGCGTTTGGGGCCGCGCCCGCTGCTTTACGAGCGCCGTCAGCGCCGCTGCTCCATCCCCATGACCGGAGGCGCTCGGCAGCAGCCCCAGCGCTGCGGGTTATGAAACCCTTACGAAACCTCTTACAAAACTCGCCGGGCCGGGCCGGGCCGGGCCGGGCCGCGCCGCCGCTCGCGTGACGTCACACCCGCCTGCGCGCCCCCTGCCGGCACAGTGCGGGAACGGCCGTGCTGTGACGTCATCGGCCACCTGCGGCCGTGCGGTGACGTCATCGGGCACACGCAGCCCCGGCACCGCCGCGCCTGGGTAAGGGGCGAGGGGCGGCGGGGTCGGGCTGGGCCGTGCGAGCCCAGGCCTGACCGCAGCGCGGCTCACAGCCGCACCCGCCCGTCTTTGCGCGATGGGCGGCGGAGCCGGCGGTGCCACGCCCGGGCGCGCCCTTCACGCCCAGCCCAGGCCGAGCCGGGCCGGGGGTCACGGGCGGCGCCCGGGGCCGCCCCAACCTCACCCCGAATGTCCCCGGCCGGGCACGGCCCCGGTCACGCGGGACGCGCCCCGTGACGTCAGCGCGGCGCCGCGCGGCAATTGGCGGGCGCTGTCCGCGCAGGCGCGCGCCGCCGGCGGCAGAGCCGGGCCCGCGGAGCCGAGCGGCGGCAGCGGCGGCTCCGGAGTGCAGCCGGGCCGGGAGCGGCCCCGCAGCCATGAAGATCTGGACCTCGGAGCACGTGTTCGAGTGAGTGCCGTGCCGTGCGGGGAGGCGGCGGGAGGCGGACAGGCCGGCCCCGAGAGCGGGGGGCTTTTTCCGGCGGGCCGGGGGCTGTGGGGCTGCACCGAGCCAGGGCCGCCCCCGGGCGCTCCGGGCCGCGGCCTCTCGGCTCCCCTGACCTTCCCCCGGGCTGGGGGAGGCTCCCGGGGCCGGTGCTCGGGGCTGCGGAAGCTCGGCAGGGGCTGAACCTTGCGGGGCCAGCGCGCTGCCGGCTCCGAGCGGCGTCCTTGTGCTGCCCCCGGCTACCGAACACCGTGAGGGCCTGCCCGGTGCCGAGCGCTCCAGACTCCCGTGTTAAAATAATCTGAGGGAGAACTCGTTGGAGGGAAGTAGAAACTTTAATAAATCAGTCCAGTATTATGAAAATCGGGATAAAGTGCAGTCTTTTGGCATTGTGTCACAGGGAATAAAATCTTTTCCAGTTATAACAGAACCAGCACACCCAGTTAATCAGGTATGTTGTGTTTTCATGTGCACTGCCCACTCAACGAAATAGAGGTTTTTCTTCAGGGAAGGACACAATCCTATTGCAAGCAGAGTGTGCAACTTGGTGTCCTGCTTGTGTTTGTGCAGTCACCCCTGGGAAACTGTGATGACAGCTGCCATGAGGAAATACCCCAACCCCATGAACCCCAGCGTGGTGGGCGTCGATGTCCTGGACAGGCACGTGGATCCCAGCGGGAAGCTGCACAGCCACCGGCTCCTGAGCACCGAGTGGGGAATCCCGGCCATTGTGAAATCGGTGGGTGTTGTGTCACAGGCCACAAAGGGACACCGCAGGGAGGGGAAGCTCCTGAGCCAGCTGCTGTAATAGATGTGTATAATTTCACAACTAATGGTTTAAAAGTTTAATGGCTTAAGCATTAATGTATGGGGAAAGCTTAACAGTGACCCTACAGCGAAATCTGCACCTCAGGCTGCTTCCATCTGGAAAATGAGATCTACCTCAGCTGAATAGCTTTGTTTTAAGCTATACCCTAACTGTGCTCTCTTGGTGTCTGTTCAATGCATAACCACTGCATTTAAAGGCATGAAGAATTGCAGTGGGTTGGTGGAATTGATGCCATCTCTGTTTGCCTGTCCCCAGCTCATTGGTACCTGCAGGACAAGGACGTATGTGCAGGAGCACTCTGTTGTTGACCCTGTGAAAAAAACAATGGAGCTTAAATCCTGTAATGTAAGTAGTTGTGTGTGTGCCTCTCAAATGGAACACACCTTGTACTTATGAAAAGGAAAATCATCTTGAAAATAACTTGAGAATTGCATTGGAATAGTACAAGTTAAAGGTTTAAGTAACGTGGTTAGAGTTGATCAGTTCTGGTTTTCAGGAAAGAGCTGCTTGGCTTTTGGATCTTGTCACTGCTAAAGCTGTGAACACACTGATGAGCAGGAGGAGTTTTGGGGGAGGGGGTGGTGTTAAGAAAAAATGTTTTAAAGCCTCTTGGTGTAGGTGCACTGTGACTGTTTCCTAATCACGTGACATTTTGCTCTCTGTAGTATTCTGTTATTTGTATTAAAGGGTAATCCTGTCCTGTGTTCTGCAGATTTCATTTACAAACCTCGTGTCAGTCGATGAGAGGCTCGTCTATAAACCACACCCTCAGGAACCACACAAGTGAGTACCTCCCTGCTCTGAGATTGACTGGATTTGGCTTTGAAAATGTCCCTGGTTTCCCTTGATCAGAAGATGAGGGTTACATGGCTTTTATTTACAGGAGATTGTCTAAACCAGGATTCAATGGACTGTCACTTCATGCAGTGACATTGGTTCTGCTGAGCCCTGGGAGACTTTGTGTCATTCTGTGCTGGAGTCCAGTCCAGTCTAGTTCAGGGTGTGAATTTGTGTACATCTGCAGTTTTCAGCTCCTTGTTCCACACTGATAATGCCTTTAGCCTCTAATTCTAGAGGTTTGTGTTTTGGTGGTTGCTTGGTGTTTTAACTTAGAGCTTAGTGAATCTGTGCTGCTGGAAGTGGTGACAATTCTGAAAGATTGTTCTAGGGATTCTAACATGGGAGTTCTTTCTGTCATGATAGTCAGAAATGTTCAATCCCTATTGTTGAAGGGGATGTTTTAATACTTTTCCCAGTATACAGTAACTCCAGATCTGCTGTTTCCACTCTTAACATCCTTCTGCTAAAGATGGAAATGGCTGAGAGACACAAAGGGAGCCTTGGACTTGCCAGGCACCCTTGGGCTTAATTTTAGAGGTAGAAGCATAAAGCAGTTACACAGTGTGGCAGTGGGTTGTGTTCAGGGGGCAAGAAGTTCTGTGTTACAGAGCATAGCTGATGAGGGAATGTACTTGTGGGGGAGGAGGGGGTTTCTCTTTTAAACTGCTCAGAGTAATTCAGTTTCCTGCTCTGTTTCAGAACCATTCTGACACAAGAAGCAATAATATCTGTAAAAGGTGTCAGTCTCAGCAGTTACCTAGAAGGGCTAATGGCAAACACAATTTCCTCCAATGCTAAAAAAGTAAGTATGGCCTTTGTGTGAAATGTGTGATCACTGGCTAAATGTCAAAGGGAATAAAGATCTCTGGTTTACTTTTTGGCTTTGTCAGCAATCTTAGAAAGGAGCCACGTGGTTCTGCTGCCTTTACTGCAGACACTGAATGCTCAGCATGCTGAACTTACTCTTGTTTTCCTCTTGTGAATGGAGATAAGATAAATTATTATTGGCAAAGCTCTCTGAATCTTCACTGGAGAAAACATCTTCAAGCAGTGTGACATTGTCATTCTTTTGCTGCCCTCTTGATGCCATCTGTTCATTTTTGCTGTCAGAAAGGATCTACATTCATACAGAATGTATGAACAGTCATGTGGGAGCAATGGAGCAGTATTTTAGCTGAGTCTGTCCTCTGGCAGTCCAGAGATACCTTGAGTTCAGCCTCGAGAATGATAAAGCAGGCTGGATAAAAAGTCTTTTGTGGATCATAATGTGAAAACTGCTGATATAAGGAATTGTTGTCCTGAAATCAAAGGCAGAACATGTTCAGTACACAGTTATTGAAATAACATCAGAGGCATGTACTTCTGTTCCTTCCTCTTTCAACTACTGTGACTTCAGTCATTTTCAGTAAGAATTTAACTGATTGAATTATTCACTAATATTTATACACCAATAAACTTTCCTTTAACTGCAGGGCCGTGAAGCATTGGAATGGGTAATTAAAAGACTGAATGCTGAAATTGAAGAGTTGGCAGCTTCAGCAAGAGGAACCATGAGGAATTCGATGGCAGCAGCAGCATTTGTAGAGAAATGATAATAGTTCTTAGAATCACTAATGAGGCTAAACGACCTGCAGCTTCTCTCCAGGCCTGGATACATGTATCCTTTGTTATTTAAAGGATGTGTGTATGAGGCACGTTATAAATTTAATTTGGAGAGAAGCTGGATTTTTCCCAAGGCTGAGGCTCAAAGGCTGTTTAATATATTGGGTCAGCTGGACCGATGAAGAAATAAATTTAAGTGTAGTTCCTGTATTTACATGAACACTAACTTATAATGTTTGCAGATATGAAATAGCCTCATTTAGTGCTGAGGCTGCATATGGTGGAGGACACTGGCATGTTAGGCTAACTTTTATTTTTTGTGTGACTTATGGACTACCTCTTTTGGGACCAAGCCCAAAATTAAGCAGAATGGTTGTTCCAGCATTGTTCTTTTTGTTGATTTTTGACAGTTGTGTGATACAACTTGGTTTAACAGAAAGCTTATTACTTTATGCTTGAAATATAAAAGAATGTACAAAATATTTTTTGATAACCTTTTTAACTTGACTGGTTGAACTAACACGGTACTCAAGTTGTTTTTCAGGCACTATAGGTAAAACATCAAAGTGTCTCTTACCTACCTACCAAGACCTAAATCCTGCTCCTAAATGCAACATCAATGAGCTGGGCATGCAGTACCTTAAAGTCAAATTTTATCTTAAACTTCTGCCACAAGTATCTCCATTTCTAAAAGCCCATTATGTAAAGGTACGATAAGCACAGAGCCTTAAAATCTTGTAAGCTGCTACAGTAGTAGGTGTTCACTTCAAAGAACCAATTAAAGACTAAAAAACCTTTGTGAAGGTGGCTGAGGAGATACCTGAACATAAAAGGAAATAATATTTAACAATATACTGTTAAGTTGATCAGAAATAAGCTGCCCCATGCAGTGGCTGTTGTGTTGTGTTCACTTTAACCTGAGTTCTGAGTTGCAGTTCCCTTCACCCTTTGAGCTGATTTGCCCCAGTCAAGGCCCTGTGCATTCTCAGGGGTTTCTCTTGGTGGTTCCTGGTGCTGTCACAGTCACTCCCTGAGGAAGGGAAAGGTCAGCCCTTGGCACGTGCTGGGCTGAGCCACTGCAGGCTCTGCTGGGCACTTCAGGGTGAGCAGGAAAAGGCAAAGGCACAGCCCAGAAGGAGCTGATGGGGTATTTTGGTACCCAAGGCTTTTCCTGGAATTTTGTTTCTAAGCTTACAAGTGATTTCAAGGCTCTTGTAGCCTTTATGAACGGTAATGTCACCCTGCCCAGCATATTTGATTTTGCATGCCATTTCTGTTAGATCAAATTGCTTACAGAGCTTATTTTAACAAACAAGAACACTTCCATAAGGTTTGTGCTGGGGGAAGAAAACAGGAATATAGATATATAACTTTTAAAAATTAACTATTCTAAACAGAATATTTTTCTAAACAGAAATGGCTTGAGACTACCTTACTAATTTAAGTCATTGAGGTTTGCCATACTTTTACAGGAGATTATTACAACTGAAATAACATTTCAATTTTAAAAGTGTATGTGAAACTTTTGCAAAACTGTACCATCATTTCTGATGAAAATGCTTAGCTTGAAATTCATTTTATATGTTTGCTCAGTCATTAGCATCGTTTGATATTCTAAAGTCAGTTTTTTCATTTCCAAATTTTTCTGCACTAGGGACTGCATAGTAGAACTCACAGTTTGGCCTTGCACTGAAAAAAACCTTCCTGTTTAATTTCTACAGGCATTCAACAACTTCTTGAAAGATAATACATTTCTTTCTTCTATTTTATTTATATGCCTGCATTCTCATTCTGTCAGAGTATGGCTTTCTGTATGTGGTCCTTTTTAAATAAAATTTTGTTTCAATTCTAGCTAATTCCTGAAACTTTCTGATCTATTTGTGTTTTAGAACTATGAGGTGAGTAATCTAAAATGAGAGGGCTGAAGGTGAAGAAATCCCTGCAGTGAGTGGCTGGTTTTGAGATGCATATCCTAAAATGCACATTCACAGTTTGCTGTGGAGCATCCATGCTGTGGGAAGATTGTCACGGGCTGGGAGCTGTGTTCAGCTTTGCTGCAGCCACTGTGGGCTGCTGTGGGTGGGTGCAGCTCCAGGGGACAGGGGCAGGGCAGGGAGGCTCTGGGGCTGGAAGGAATGGAGGAAATGGGGAGGAGAAAGCAGCTACAGCTGGAGGAACAGAACTGAAGGGCCAGGAGGAAAGAATTTTAAAAAAGGGGAAAGGGATGCAGGAAGTGGAGGAATGTGATGTGAACAGATCAGTGCTGAGGGCTCTGATGGATCCCTGCCCACCAATGGGCACCAGCCCCTGTTCAGCCACAGCTCTGAACCACAAGTGCCAGCCAAGGGTTTGCTTCCAAAAAAACCAGAAAAATTGTAACCAGCATTTCCTACAACATTGCTGATCTGTCTCTTGTGGTCTGTACTTGCATTTATATTTCCAATAAATGTCAAACATAGTAAACACGAGCACCCGCTGTGTGATAACTGCACCATTTCCAGTCTCCTGGCCCTGGCAGCACTGGGTCAAAGGGAAGGCCAGCAGCCTGCTGAGGTTCACGTTTATGGAAGAACTGAAGAGTGCTGCTGAAGAGCTCGTGTGGAAGCAGTGAGTCACTTCAGAATCCTTCCATTTCTTAAGGTGGAGGTTGTTCTTTCACTTGCCTCAGGATCTGTTAATTTCTCTCCTAAATAACTCCATAGCTGTGCTTTACCTGTTGCTGTAGAACTGAATTATTCTAAAGCTAAGGCTACATGTTACAACCAAGCTGAACTCATTGCTTTCCTTAGGAGGACCATGGGCACCAGCTGTGGACAGAATACCTTACATCATGATGCTATTTTGTCATAACCACATTTAAAAAGTAACACAAGTCATTAACCACATGAAAAGAGGAAGTAATACACAAAATTTTTGAAACTTGACTGTACCTGAATTCTCCTCTGCAGATCCTGGGTCCTCCTCAGGCCATTTATGCCAGATTTTGTAGAATGGACAGCTGAGACTTGGCTGACAATGCAAAATTATTTCTACTTTGAATCCAGGTGTCCAGAAGTTGAAAATTTACATCTTCATCAAGTAACCTTCAAAATACTGTCCTGTCATAGAAAACAGCACAGAACTGAATCTCCCTGTCAAGATTGGAGCTGACTCCAGTCAGGTGTTTGCTGGCACTGTGTGCAGGGCTGTGCTCAGACAGGAGATTTAGCAGGGTGCTGGTGACTGGATTGTCATCAGCATGGCATCATTCCCAGGGGCTGTGCAGCAGATTAGGGTCAGAGCAGAGGGAACAGCAGAGCTTTACCAGCACAGCCCAGAATGGCTTACCCAGGCAGAGAAAGGAGGTAAATCCACAGCTACCCAAGGTAGGAAACGTTATTACTGACCTCTACATTTTGTACAAAGGTGACCGTAATTCCACATTTCTTGACAGTGTTATTTCATAGGAAAAAGTGCAGTAACTTCATTATTTTAAATTAAGACAGAAAGAACTCAGTGAAGAGATGATGGAATTTATAGACTGTTGGACACTGGCTTTTTATTGTATTGTAATTTGCCTTTTTTAATTTTTATTTCTCCCCTGTAAAATACACTTGAGAAAACTTTGAGATTAAAGGTAGTCACAAAGTTGAATTGCTTTTAGATAGCAAGGGATTTTTTTAAGGGGTTAATTACTTTTATGTTGTATTAGCAATACAGGGCAGCAAGCAAACTTGTCATTTCATCATAAATAATGCATGTTTGGAAAAAGTAATTTGTTTTGCCTTTTGATCTATAAACATTGTACTCTAGAAATAATTGCAACCATGTTGCAACAGCTCTTAAATTACAGCAGCATTATCTGTAAGTGTTAAATATATTCAGGAACTTTTGGGGGTCTTATCAATGGTACATAAGCAGCTCTGGTTTTAGCGTGGCAATTTTTGCATTGTGCTAAATCCCCACGATTGTGATGTTTGCACAGTGAGGGCCCCTCCAGCTCAGTGGCTGCTCTGCAGACACCTGCCTCAGTCAAGAGGTGACCTGGGGGGAGTTACACCCGTGGTGATTAAGTTAAATCCATTACACACTCATCTGCACGTGGGTTGTGTAAGAACAGGGGCAAAGCTGGGGTGTGTTCAGGGCAGCCTCCTGTACCTTGCACCTCTTGTCCATAAAATGTGGCTGTGACGAGGGAAGAGCTTTTTGTGCTCCCTGTGCTGTTCTGGAGAGGCAGCCACGGGTCTGAGTGCTCTGAGCTTTGCAGCACGGGCTGGAGATGAGAGAAGGCAGCTGTGGATCAGCCTCTTGATCTACTCACACTATAATTAGATGCACCTTTTTGAACTGAAATTTAAGCTGTTCTGTTCCCTTTTTAATCATGTCTGCCTTCTACCACAACTTCTCTTTATGATATTTTTATTAACAATTCAAAACTAGCACAAATAAAAAATTATTGTTACTATACAGGTTTTCTATCCAGAGATATGAAAAAAAGGTAACAAAATAAGACCTCTTTTTATCTGATAACAGTTAGAACTGCTGTTGCTGGAATGTGTATTTCTCAGACACAGAATCAGTTTAGCACACTATTAGCTTCCAAAACCAAATCCTGCACATACTACACAGAAAAACAAATCTGGTTGAGCAAGGACAGACATGCCAGGAGAGAAGACAGAAGACTGACTACAAGTGTACATGTGATGCTGTACTGGTGCCCTGGAAAGGCACAATGTTCTCAATGATTCTGTGGGCTCCTATTACTGAGCTTTTCTGCACCAAAAGAGAAACTACTGAGACCAAGCACAGAGTTTGAATCATTATTAAAAAAAAAAAAAAAGGGGGGGGGGTAATGCTGTCTTTTTGTTTTGATGTGATGATAGAGATCTTTTGTTTAAAATGCTCCTGATTTAACACCCATCATGTTGGGGATTTATTTGGCTTTTCAGTGTCATCTCTTCAACCTACCTGGACCTACTTGGTCTCACTCTTTTGGCCTCCCTGGACCCCTCCAGTGCCAAGACTTTAGCCTCCTTGGAACTCTTTAAAATCCCCTTTTCAGATTCATTGGATTTATCCAGTCTGAGCTCTTCATCCTCTGTGGAATTCTCCAGTCTCACTTCTTCATCCTCTCTGGACCTCTCCAGTCTCACATCTTCATTCTCCTCAGACTTCTCCAGCACCTCCTCTTCAATTTCCTTAGAGCTCTCCAGTCTCACCTCTTCAGACTCCTGGGAGCGCTCCAGTTTCTCCTCTTCAGTGTCCCTGGACCTATCAAGTCCCACTTCATCAGGCTCCCCGGATCAGTCTGGTGACAGCTCCTCAATCTCTTTAGATCTCTCCAGTGTCACCTCTCTATCCACAGATTTCTCCAGCCCTACTTCTTCACTCTCCCTCGACCTCTCCAGTCTCACTTCTTCGTCCTCCACAGATGTTTCCAGTCACAGCTCCTCAGCTTCCCTGGACTTTTCCTGTACAATCCCTCCATGCTCCCCAGCTGTGGCTGAGTACAGCTCCTCCACCTCGTCGGAATCTCTAGACCTGACCGATTTGAACTATTTCATGTTTCAGCGCTCCTCTGGGTTATCTTCATCAGCTCCTGAGGACGTTCCCAGCCTCATCTCTGCACCTTTCCTGGATGTCTCCAGCCTCACCTTCCAGGATGCTTCTCCCCTCAGTCCCTCAGTTTCTCTGGACATGTCCAACCTGACGTCCTTGGTTCCCCCAGACCTGTCCACGCTGACGTTCCTGGATGTTGCGAATCGCGCTGCGGCGGCTGCCCTGGACCTGTGCATCTAACCCTGCCCGCCCTCCCCTTCTCCCTGCAACCTCCCCCTGTCCTGCCACACTTCTCTCCTTCCTCTGCTCTCTCCTTTCTTCTCCTGCTGAAAACTCCTACCTGAGCAAAGTTTAGGGCTTTACAAAATGTCTCCTGGCATCTAAACTGGGCATGAAAACAGGTTGTGCAAATCTGTAACGGTGCCTTGGAACAGCTGCATAAACATCAATATTTATTCTGGAATTTTTGTAGAGCACAGTTTCTGTCACTGATTGATACCCACTCATGGCTGGTACCTCTCCCAAAGGCTTGGCTTTTTCAGTTCATGCTGGATTTTTATCTATCAAGACCAACAAATAGTAAATAGTTAAATGTGTAAGTAATTGCATCCAGGTTGTGTATCTCCATTATGGATTTGTATCTGAGTTAATTTCACAGAATTGCAGGCAGAGGCACACAGAGAGAGAAAATGTGGTGGGAAAAGAAGATTGTAGAGCAAAACTCAGGTGAGAAGTGGGTTAGGGAGAGGAGCCAGAGAAGCCCTGGGGCAGGAATAGAGGGGCATCTAGCTGGGAAAAAGTGTCCAACTCTACTGGCATGATTTTTCTCTGCCCAGCCATCTATGGGGCCTGGGCTGCCCAGGAGGCTTAAAATAATCTTAGTGCTAATTATTTTACCTATCAAATCATCAGGTGTTCCCATTAAAGAAGTGTTTGCATGTAACATCCCCTTTCTCAATATATGTAAGTACTGCATTACTTGTCTTGTATCAAATATGCTGCTTAAGTAGCACAGAGGGGCTTCCCAAAATCTTTGGTGCTCTCTTGTATATTTTTGTTATCATTGTTATGACTGGGGCTTCGAAACCAAATATATTTCCTTTCAATGTCACTGGCACCTTTCTGTGTTAAAAGTGCAGAAACATGTTTGTCATAACAAATATTTTTTAATTCATTTAATTTCTGCAAATTGCAAAGCTTTGATCCAATATGCCACATCTGTCACAAAATTAAAATATGTTTCACACAAAAATAAAGAAGAAAACAAATGTATGAAGTAAGAATTGTTTTCTGCCTCGTATACACTACTGATTTCTTT